TCCCCTTTTTAGAAGTTCAACAATCATTTACAGCAAGAATTTCTGCCAGCCATCATGAAATCAAAGATGACCCATCTAAAAGCAGCTACATTCACCTAGCAAGACCTTCTACACTGACTCAGTTGTCTTATACCATCTACTCTTGCTACCAATCTATCAACATGATTAACAACCCAAATGGGTTAAATTTTAATTTCCTGTAAGGTACAGAGTACATCTTGTAGTTCCTCAACACAATGAAGAAAAGAAAGTGAAAACTGCAAGTAACCAACAACCTAATGAATGTCGAGAATGAAATTACCCAATTTCACCCCGCATTTCATCCTCACAGGAACCCTCTGAATTAATTTCCAGTATCCCATTTTATAGATGAGGAGCTCAGAAAGATTAAATAATACAGCTACAAAGTGGCAAGGCCAGAGTTGAAAGTCAAAGCTATCTAATTCCAGAGGATGGACTATTATCCCTTACTGAGAAGACCTGGGCAAACAAGTCACTTTCAATCTCTCTAAACCTGAGTCATCGTCTATAAATGGGAACACCTGCCATTTATTACAAGACTGAAATGAAATGGTATTCATAAACAAGGATTATTAAAGTGCTTTTTACACACACAGTTCTTGATGATAAAGCAAGAAAGGTAAAATCCCCGAACCAGCATGTCCCAACACCTTCAGCATCAGGCAGAATGCACTTCTGAGATGCCTCAAGCTAAAATTAGCTGAGGCACAGTCGTCTCTATTTTCAGTTGAAAAGGACCCTGGAGCTAGGCCAGGTTCCCAGGCTAGGACTTACCCAGTGGTCGACTTTAGACAAGTCAGAAGTCAATATCCAATTTTGTCCTACTGGGAAGTACTCACTGTCCCTGCATATGCAGGGGTTTTCTTAACCTCAATTCTAGGCTTGCCCATCATCAAAACCCTCCTACTCCCACTGCCCAACATCCTGGAATGCATGCTTGAGTTCAAGTCATGAATATACTTTTTTGTCTTATAACTTAAGAGCAAAACATTTTTACCATTAAGGAGCTTTAGTTTTCTCATTTTAAAGGGTTATTATTAATAATTCTTACTCACAGGATCTGAAACGCTCAACTTCCAACTGTGTCCTGAGTGTCAGGAGTCTAGTAAACAACATGGTCCCTTCCCTAAAAAGCTTCAACAGCCCAAGTGGGGAAACAGCTATGCCAGCCACTCATCCCAGTGCAATGTGAGCACTGTTTTATATATTGTGAACTGCTAAGGACAGCACATAAGCACTACAGAAGGCAGAGATCAAGAGAGGCAAACAGCCAAGGTGACAATAACTGGGATCTTGAAGAATATGTAAATTATTAAATGATGTACCATTTAAGAGATTATTAAAAATAACAAACAATGCAGTGACAAGAAACAGAGTAGGTCTTATTTTATAAAATTGTGTTTTTGTCTCCATGTAAATTGCTGGAAGAGGAGGTCAAGTGTAATCTAGTGTCTTGGAAAACAAAAACAAAAAAGAGATTGACTAACAGTATTAAAAAAGTGGAATGCTGAATTGGGAGGTTCTGCGGACACCTGCCCTTTTCCACCAGATATAACCCTATGCCACTGCAAACCAAGCGGATCCATGTAACTCCTTCACTCCCAAGAAGACAGGACCACCACGTTGTGCATATACCTTCAAACAGCAGAGCAATTAGTTTGTGCTTCCCAAGTGGACTTTGTGGGTTCCAAATCTGGCTCCACCACTTGCCTAAATTACTTCAATTAGCCCCTCATCTTTAAATAGTAACAACAGTACTTTCCTTCACAGAATTATGAGGTAACAAAGTAGTAACACATGTAAATGCTCAAGGTACCAGTGATCATTATTTTACCATCATTGTACTGAAGTAGTTCAATTAAAATAATTCAAATAAAACTAAGCCTCCCTATCTGTTCTTAGTTCCTTCCATTTTGAAGGTGTCATATGACCCAGTCGTTTCTCTGTAGGTTATTTCCACCCTACCTTCTGAATCCCTTAACTCCACTGACTAATCAAGCAGCTTCCTACTTCACATCTGATTCTTTCCGCTGCTGTGCTATTTCTCTTTCCAAATGAAGATTTCTTTACCATTGTCTCTCTCTGATGTTTTCTTTCCAAGTTTGGAGAAACACAGGAGAACACAGATTTGTAAAGATATAAATAAATTTTGTAGGAATGTTTTCCTAATTTTTAAAATATTAATTACAGCCAGGGTTAACAAGTTTATGCAATGAGTTATTTAAAGGACCTAGTATATGAAATCAAAATCTATCTGTGATCGCCCTGGCTGGGTAGCTCAGTTAGTTAGAGCATCATCCCCAATATGCCACAGATTGCAGTCAGGGTATATACAAGAATCAACCAATGGCCCTGGCCGGTGTGGCTCACAGGATTGAGTGCCTGCCTGCAATTCCCTTCAATTCCCTGCCAGGGCACATGTCTGGGTTGCAGGCCAGGTCCCCAGTTGGGGAGCGTTCTAGAGGCAACTGGCTGATGTTTCTCTCCTTTTCTCTCTGAAAATAAATAAAATCTTAAAAAAAAAAAACAAAAACAAGAATCAACCAATGAACACATAAATGAATGCATAAATAAGTGGAACAACAAATTAATGTTTCTGTCTCTAAAAATATCAATAAATTAAAAAAAAACTATCTGTGACACAATGTATGAGTCAATCTCTGCCACTTCCATTTCACATCTATAATAGACACAGAGAGGGTAGAGACACAATATGTCATGAACTGTAGGACAGTTAAATGACTTGGTCACTGGCTGAATGTGTATTGACTAATACAATGATATCAACCCAAAGGGAAAGGTTAGAGGTGTGCCAGTCAGCAATGAATTTGGCCCCACCCTAGTCAATATTTACAATTTGAAGAAGAAAGTAAAAGGGAATGCTTATCAAAACTCCCTCTGACAGACAGATAGCAGAAATTATTGATATACTAACAGCTGTCACAGCTTGAACTTAGAGCCACAAGGAACAAGAGAAAATTTAAGAAAAACAATTGCAAATTTCTGTACTTAAAAGTCAAACAATTACCCGCACACTGGATGGAAAACTAGCTTCAAAAATTCCCATGAAAAGGTCCTAACTGATTGCAAGGTTATTGTGAGTCAGCAAAGCAATATGCTACAAAAGCTAAGCCTGCCAGAGAATTCATTTGCAGCAGAATCCCAAACATGGAACTTGGTAACTGTCCAACCATTTCCACAGGAGCCTGTTCATTTCTGGGCGCTACAGCCCCAAGGGCAACAAGGATGATAATCAGGGGAAAAAAAAAAAAAAAAAGTGCAAGAAACGAGGGATAAAAACTGGAAATGCAAGGGACGTGGGGAGAGAAGACAGTCCACCAAAGTTAGTTTTATAATTTGTAGCTCCAAAGGCAAGATTATGATCAGTGATATCGTCCCAAGAAGGTTCAATCTAGAGAAAAATTTCTAATCACCTGAGCCTGCCCATATATGAGGTTGCAAAGCTGGGTTAAAAGAAGCTGATCCTGGTAATCTCCAGATCCTATCAAGTAAGAGTTTAATTCCATGACAGCTTATCTAATTTTTTAAAATATCCTCAAAGGCTAAAAGTAGGCCCCCATAAGTAATTAAAATACAGTTGGAAAATGACTCTATTTTTCCTGTTCGTGGAAAACGTTTCACAACACATTCGTTATCAAGGCACGCATATAGTAACTTAAAAACTGGCTTCTGTAACCTCACTGGCCTCAGGTATAAAGGCCATCATTTGTAGGCAGACAGAAGGGGAGAAGGAAGCAAAGTACTGTTCTGTGGCACTGTAACCGGAAATGTAACAAGAAAAAGATTCATAAAAACAACTGCTTATCAGGTTCAGTTAAGATCACTAAGGGTTTGAAAAAATCAACTGAAATGAACAAGCATCAATCTTACAGGTCTCAGAGAAGAGCCGCTTACACGTAGGACAATCTGAGTCATCCAGACCACAGGCGTGAGCTGAATGATTAGCTATGGGTGTGACCCATTCACAGTAAGACTCCCAGCCCAAGGGGATTTTCAAGCCGGTTTTTATGACTTAAGATAAGACAGGTCGAGTCCTAGACGAAAACAGTTTTATTTTTGAACAGTGAAGCAAACTCGTAACAAGGGCGGGTGTTGTACCATCTGCCGTGCGTTTCTCGGGATGTAAGCATCTAAGCCTCCTTAGAGGGTCTCGCGACGCGGAAGCCTCACGCCTGTCGCAGGCACCCCCTTCGGCCTCTAGCAGCCCTCGCCCCGCACTTCCTCCTCAGTATCTGCAAGGTCTGCCGCCCGTCTGTCTGCCCGGCCCCGGCTCAGCGCAACGGGGTCACCTCCCAGCGGTGCGCGCAGAGACCGAAGCACTGCGGCGTCTGACCCCTCCCCACAGCCGCGCGACCGCGGGGTTTCACGGCTGGCGCACGCGCGGCCTCCTCCGCACAGTGCAACCCCGCGGGGGAGGAAGGAATCGCGGCCACGTCACAGCTCCGAGGGTTCCAAAGGGGCGGGGCCTCCCGGGAGGCAGCGGCGCTCCCCGACGGCGCGCGCGCGCGCGCGCGTCCGCCCCCACGTGTCCCTGCGGCTCTTGGGAATGTGGGTCACAGAGGCAAGCGGCCTCACGTGTCCCCGCCCGCCGCCACCGCCTCAGCGCCCATTATGTAATGCCGCGTCACGCGCCCGCCCAGCCAACCGGCGCCCGCGCGCCGCAGAACGTAAACACAGCGCGCACGTGGCTCGCGCGGCCCGGCCATGTGAGGGGGGAGTCGGGCCGGCGCCACCGGGCCGCGCTGCGGCGTTGCAGGGAACGGTGAGGGCCACCGCGGGGCGGCCCGGGGGACGGAGCGGGGCGGGGGTGATGGGAACCGAGGCTGAGGAGGATTCGCGGCACGCAGCAGCTCACCCCGCGGGCCTGGGGACACCTCTGACCTCCGCCCCCCGAGGTGCCCCAGCAGGATCCGAGCGTCCCCTCCGTCATCCCCGACCCGCCACAGTCCTGTTCTTACCCGCATTCACCTCCATGATGCCCTCAAGGAGGGGGCCGAGGCCGACTGCTTCCCGCAGAGGGGGCAGCTCCGCCTCTGCCTCCGCCTCAGCGCCGCGCCGCCCCGGGCTGGAGGCAGCGGTGGTCGCGGGGCCCCCTCATGGGCGGGGCGGGCGGGGCGCCCGGGACCGGCGGCCGGAGAGCAGGCTGCAGAGAGAGACGGCGACGGCGGCAGCTGGCAAGCGGCGATCCTCGCGGGATCCCTGACAACAAAAGCGGCGGCGCGGAGGCTTCCTGCAGCCAGCGCACCGCGGCAGCGAGGGCGGCTGATGGGGAGGGCAGCCGCGACCATGTGACCCGCGCACACACCCCCCTCCCTCCGCCCGCCCCTCGCTGGCCGCTGCGGCGACTCCGCCTCCTCCCCGCCTTCTCGCCTCCCCTACTTTCTCCCCCGTGCCCTCCCTTTCCCCTGTTTCTCCCTAGTTTCCTTCATCCCCTTTCCCCTTCTTTTGTCTATTTCCCTGCTCTCCACATCCCTTCTTTCCTCTCCACCCCCTCCACCCATCTGACCTTCCCGCCTCGGGCCGGGAGCTCCCTCCACGCCCCCGTCACAGGCTTGCTGCCCCGAACCTCAAGTCACCTAGGATGGCTACCGAGGACCGCCCGTTGGCGCCGAACAGACCCGCTTTTCAGGACCCCGGGTTGTGCCAACCTGGTTCGGGCTAGCCTAACCCCTGACCTCCCCGTTAGATCCCGCTCTCCCACGCGACAGACCTCTAAAGGCTGGACTCTGAGGACACAGCCAATTTCTCTCATGCGCTGGGTGATTTCATCCAGCCCCGTACCTTGAACAGACCTACGTTCTGAAGATTGCCAAATTCACATTTCAAACGAGGCCTCTCTTCTGAGCTCCAGATTTCTGCATCCAGCAACACGTTTGGTTGTCCTATTGATGTTTCTAGGCATCTCAAATTTAAGATGTAGACAGATATATGTATGTGTCCAAACTCAATGCGCACTTAAGATTTCTGCATTTCACTTTGTATGTAAATTTTACATCAAAAGAAAAAACTCGAACCAAATGACATTGGTGCTGAGGTATGCAGAGAGAATGGCACTGATGTTGGCGATTTAAATGCACTACAAAAGGAAGAGCTGATGGATGGAGGCATGCATAAATGGATAGAAGTATATAGTAAGATCTTAGCTGTAGATGTTGTATATGGGTATTCACTGTAAAATTCTTTCCAAATTACTCTTTCAAAATGTTAAGTGTAAAATGTTGAGGGAAATGTAATATGTAAGATAGTTTTACATGTGCAACACTCCTCCCTCCATCACTATTCCATCTCACACAGGTTTCTTCCCCACCTTAATCTTAACTATTTCGGTAAATCTGTTAGTTCCTGAAACCAGGAATTTAGGGTGTTCTCAGGTTCTAGTTCTCCCCCTCCCCTTTTATACCTCATTCAATTCATTAACAAATATGAGCGATTCTACCTTCATAGTATGTCTTTAAGCTCTGTGCTTCTCACCATTTGCATTGCTATTACTCTAGCAAGGTTGTCCAAACTTTTGGCATCTCTTGGTCACACTGGGAGAAGAGTTGTCTTGGGTGACATATTAAATACATTGTGACACATAATCACCAAAAAAAAAAAAAGGAAAAGAAAAAAACAACATAATGTTTTAAGTAAATTTACAATTTTGTGTTGGGCCACAGTCAGCCGTCCTGAGCCATATGAAGCCCGTGGGCCAGTTTCAGCACCGCCGCCAGTGATTTTTCAACCCTTGTGCCACAAGAATTTTGAAAACATGCAATCAGTACCTGACTACTTAATCAGGGACACTGACCTCTTTTCCCATAGATTGTCAAATTAAAAACCTATAGCCAATACAACAATAGCCATCTCATGTGAGTGAATGAAAAATACCTATTTTGTCAGATTGGCCAAAAATATCTCTTGGTGTGCCACAGAAATTTAGTAATTAGTTTATGTGTGCCATGAAATGAAAAAAGTTGAAAATCTCTTCTAGATGAAACCACCATCAGTTTTTGTCTGGCCTGCTATAATAGTTCTGTAACAGGGCTGGGGCGGGGGCGGGGGGGGGGGGGGGGGAATGCTCCTTGTATCCACCTATAGTCACTTTTCCCTCCAGTCTGTTATTTTTTAAAATGCAAATGAGACCTGATTACTCTGCTTAAACCCTACCATAGCCTCCTACTGCATTTTGATAAACATCCAACTCCTTAGGTTGACCTGCAAAGCCCAGCACAAACCATAGCTCTACTTCTCTTTCCAAGGCTCTCATGCCACCCTTTAAACACAGTTCTCTGACCACAGTGGTCCTATTTTTCTGCCCTACCTCAGGGCTTTATTACCATATGTGATGCTGATACAAGAGTTCCCCAGACTGCACTTTGTTGCTTGCTTTTTCCATTTTATGTATCAAGTACCATCTGCTTCTGCACAGGTAACATGAGACCAATATGAACAGCCTAGAAGGCAGAATAGAAATCATAAAAGGATATCATTCTGAAAAGGCTACATACTATATGGTTCTAACTATATGAAATTCTGGAAAAGGCAAAAAGCGGATATGGTAAAAGATATCATTGGTTGCTGGGGGTTAGGGGAGAGGGAGGAATGAAGAGGCAGAGCATGGATGATTTATAGGGCAGTGAAATTGTTCTGTATACTACAATGGTGGACACATCTCAAATGTACAACACTAAGAATGAATAATCATAGAAACTATGGACTTTGGATGATTATGGTGTGTCAATATAAATTTATTGGTGGTAAAAAATGTACCACTGTGGTACAGGATGTTGATAGTGGGAGAGGCTGTGTGTGTTTATAGTGGGAGAGGCTGAAGGAATATGGGAACTCTGTAATTTCCATTCAATTTTTTTGTGGACCTAAAATTTCTCTTTAAAATAAAGTCTATTTTTAAAAAGAAAGACAGGGCACTATCATTTAAATTTGAAAAGGAAAAGTGTGAAAGTTGAAATATGCCATTGCAAAGGAAATAAGATGCTATCTTCCATAATAATGCCTATGAAATAAAATCTATTTATGAGCCTCACTTTTTTTTAAAGATCACCTTCTTCCTGTGAGGCTTTGTGGGTAACTATCAGAGGCTATAAAGCTGTAACCCAGGTCAGTCCTTAGCCACACCACTGGCCCCTGGAAACACATTGGGTTCATCCGTGCCACAAGAGGACGCTGAGTGGCACCCGGGTTGAGCACTCCTGAAGAGCTGTAGCTGTAGTGGAAATCGCCTTTCGCTGTTGTCATTCCAAGGAGCCTCTGTTAATAATCCTGTGGAGTCTATGGCTCAGTCTATAAAAATCTCAAATTATTCATAGTGGATTTCTACCTACTCCACCTTCCTCATTCCCCTGACCAAAATAATAATGCTGTTGAATTAAGTGGCTGTGTCTTCAAAAGTCATCTGTTTAAAAAAATGCAAATTATTTCCTGGGAAAATTACTTCATTAACCCCTATATTCTAGTAACACCGGAGCCCTGGGGAACTGAACACAGGATAGGTCATTCTGGGTGTGGCTAAAGGAAGGAAGAACCTAAATACTGGAGTCCTCTAATCCCAAGATCAAGCAAAACAGGCCAAGTGAGGCACTGCAGTATGAGGACCTGGATGAAGGAGAGGTATTGGGGGATGAAGGAGGTAGAAATGGAGTTTTCTTAAAGGTAAGGCCAATTCAAAACATTTAAGGTCATTCTTCATGTAAAAATGTTCCAGTGAATATTTTAGTTCACAATACCACAGTACATCCACTTAAATCTTACCTTCTCTGCACTCTAGATCAGCAGTTCTCACGCGTTTTGGTCTCAGAACCCTTTTACATTCTTAAAATTATTGAAGACCACAAAGCACCTTTTTATGGGCTATGGTTGTCGACATTTACCAGTGCCTATAAGAGATTAAAAGAGAGAAATGTTGAAAACACAAGAATACACAGCATATACGAGGTCTGTCTGGAAAAAGTCTAACCATTGTTAATATAATAAGGACAATTTGCATGACACCAATGTAACCTGTCAGCCAAAGAGAGTGAACTGGAATGCGCAGTTATGAACAATGATGATGTCGCTGTACTAGTCAGTGGGGGCAATAGACACGGTTGAATAAGCTTGTGTTACTGTGTGGCCATCGCATTCAAAATGACTGAGCAAGTAGAGCAATGAATCTGCATAAAATTTTGCGTTAAGCTTGAACATGCCTCCATGGAAACTATTCAAATGATTCAGAGGGCCCCAGCTATGGGCAACTGGTGATTGGCAGCTTCATCATGATAACACACTCGCTCACGTCTTGTGCGGTTTTTTGGCGAAACATCACCCAGGTGACTCAGCCCCTTTACAGTCCAGATTTGGTGCCCTGTGATTTCTGGCTTTTCCCAAGACTACTATAAAATCACCTTTGAAAGGGAAGAGATTTCAGACCATCAGTGAGATTCAGGAAAATAGAACGGGACAGCTGACGGTGTGTGGGGGAACTGTGTGAGGACCCAAGGTGCCTACTTTGAAAGGGACTGAGGCATCATTGTCCCATGTACAGTTCTTGTATCTTGTATCTTCAGTAAAGGTCTCTATTTTTCATATTGCATGGATGGATACTTTCTGGACAGACCACCTTGTATGTCATAGAGCAGTGATATCATCACATGTTAACAGTTGCTATTGCTATTCATCATATTTTTGATGTGCCTTCCTCCAGGCTCTTTTTTTCTTTATTGTTATGGTTATAGTACTAGCTTCTCTATCACCCCCAATACTGCATCAAAGTTTGACTTTATTTTAAATTCCAAAATTTGTCTATATGTATTTTTCCCCTTAATAAAATTACCATATTTATATTTGATTACATGATATGAGGATGCAATGACACACATTGATTAAGTCAGAATACAGGGATTCATGACAAATAATGCACTAAAGATATGAAAATTAAAAATAAGACTTTTAATTAAATGTATAAAATAACTCCATAAAACAATGAAACAGAAACTCAGAATTAGTACCTAAAGGATCAGGCAATTCTGACTGTTACCTAAATGGAGATATGGGAAATAAAAACCACAAAATCAAGAACATAATTTTTATTTTTTTCTGTGGCTCCCATAACTGTTAATTTTAATTCTTATGATGATCAAAGATAGAGTTAGTATTTCACTTTACCTGGATAGCCCCAATTTATCACATACTTGGGACCAGAAAGCAAGAATATTTCCTTTTTTGGCAAAATAATACCATTTATAGTGCATCTGACCACCACCATATAACATCACTGAATATAATGATTAATCATAGACTCAGTTC